AACAGCACGCAGCTTCCTGCAGCCTCTCACCAACCATTGTTCTACCACAGCATTACTCATCAGTCGACCTTACAGCAGCCGCTCAAAATCGTAACCTGATGAGCTGCGGATGCTCTAAGCCTGTGTGACTGAAGCCCTTAAGCTCACCTGGTTTCATTGCACCATCTTGTGGTATAAACTCAGATGGCAGTACAGCTGGCCCCCAGTTCAGTTTCTGCTGATATTGCATAAACACGATAGGAAGGTGTTCTGAACGTGAAGTCAAAGAAGCTGATTCTTCATTCTGCTGACAAAAAGTACCTTTCAACACGTTTTTCCACCAAGACAAACTTTATTGTAGTTTTTAAAACAAAATCAAACAAATCAGCATCAGAGGAAAAAAAGAAAAATCCACATAAAGAGGACACACCTCAAACCTTGACTGCTTTACAGAAGAGAGTAAAACTTTGTGACTTTCAAAAGTTCAAAAAAAAAAAAAAGGTCCAGCTGAACACATTTCCCCAGTGATCAGGGTAAAACTGCGTGGTCTTTCGGTAAACTCACAGACCTGTACAAATAAAGTTTGCTTTGTAAATGTATACTTTAATCTTTTGGATCAGATTTCCCTCTTTGCTAACATCTGAAAAAATATTATTTTTGGTTCAGTTTGCAGAGATTTACCTAAAAAAAATATAGTTCATGACCAAAACTCTGATGCAGAAATGACAGTTTTTGCACTCAAATTAAAAGACGCTGAGATTCGTCTGTCCCAGTGCTCCAGCGCTCGCTGCATACACCCGTCTGTCACACGATTATTAAATGCACTTGCTTCTACAGTACTTGGGATGGGACTTGTAATCCGAGGTGCCTGCCGGGACTTGACTCGCCTGTAGATAGCCTTTTTTTGGGGGGCGGGGGGGTTAGCGAGAACATTAAGGGCACTGGAAATCTTACTGGGATTAGTTGTATAAAACAAAAAAAAGCTTCTGCTGAGTTCTTTGTGCAACCTGTCTGTTTGTGCCTTTTTTGATAGTCTTGATATCTGAGATTTGATGTGCAGCTTTCGTTCAGTCGGGAATCCGTTGTAATTGCAGTATATGCGCTTAAAAATGAATACAATCAAGTCTGGGGGGTGGGAGGGGTTCGGGGGTTATCCTTACCTTTCATTTCTGTAAATTTTAAAGAGATTTGTTGCCACAGCTGTGTGATTTGTGACTGTATTGAAAAGATGAAAAGCAAACATTTTATTTTATTTTTTTGCGTAACACTTTTTTGAGATTTTTTTTTTTCCTTTTTGGGGGGGGGGATGTTTTTGTGCAGATATTTTTATTGTAAAATGAATGTTATGTTTCTATCAGACACTAATCTTGTTTGAGTTGTCTCCAGTGGAACTACTTCACTCTGTATGTTTTGATCAGTATAAACCTTTAATTGTGTAGTTAACATTTCTGAAAGGAAAATAAATAAATAAATAAATAAGATCCTTGGTTGTATTTTTAAGGGTTTCTCTTCAACCTGCCATAGAAATTGTTGTGAATTGATTGGTCAGTTTTATTTTGCTGTCGTGTGAAGGATTTGACTTGAACGAAGCGTTCACTATTATTAAAGACTGACTGCTACTTTGAAAGATCTGTTCTTTAATGTTTTTCTTTGCAACTCTGCCATGACAATTAAATAGACATTAAAGTTTGTGCTGCGTTTGAGGTGTTTCCTGCCAGCACGTATCAGTCCTGGATTCTAATTGGTTGTTGGACAAGCAGAGGTACATGCGGCTGCAAGTCAACTCTACTCGGCACCAAACCAAACCCAAAAAAGTACTCATGGCCGAAATGTTTGACAGCATTACTAATTTAGTTTCATCTGCTTTTATGCTTCAGTTTGTTTTTAACATCGTTCTTCACTTTATCATTAACTGATAAAAACAAACAAAAACAGCTCTGCACACTGACTCCAACTGATGATTTAATCCTTACAACTTTTATTTAAAAGCAACATTTCCATCGTGCTGAGGAGGAGACATGTTTGAGGAAGATCAACTGGATAAAAAACTTTGCTTTAACCACAGAAAACCACTGGAGGCGCCGTCTTCAGCTAAAAGGATACTTTAGGTTTATTTTGTAAGCTGAGTGGGCCCCAAAACGGAGCGATGTCCCGGTGTCTGGAAAAACGCACAACCAGTCCGAATGAAAAGGCTGGAAATCTATAAATACCTGAAATACGGAGTACAGCCTGTAGAGGGCGCTATTAAAAAAAAAAAAACACACACATGGCAGAAAAACTTTCCAAAGGGAGAAAATCCTTAAAGATGTTTGTTTTTTTTGTTTTTTAAATGTGGTGTTTAAATGAAGCTCTAATGCATCTTATACAATGAAATATTTTTCTAGTATAAACAAAGACATTACTTTTTTGTATAATTTGGGGGCTTTTTCATTTCAGTTAAATAGTTTTAATACAAATGATTGATTACAGGCTGATTGACAAATACTATCCCAGTTACCCAAATACCATCTCCCTGGTCCTGATCTCTAAACCTACTGATGGTGAATTCTACAATTTTAATGCCAAGTGTGGCGTAAAAATCTGATGGAATAAAAATGACGTATCCACAATCACTAAATACTGGATTTAATATAAGCAAGAGCCCCCAAATCCAAATAACACCTGTGACTGACACCTCCCATCACTCACAGCAGTGTTTGCCTTGCTCCTAACACACTGCCTGTAAGTGCATTCCAGACTCAATAATGACATTCCTGACAGTTGACAGGCTGTTGTTACTCTTTCTAATGGACGTTTTGGTGCTTCAGAGGGCTTTTCAAACCAACAAATGATACAAAGAGGCAGAAACGTTCAATAAAAGCACAGAGCATATGGAACATGTTGGAGTCCACATTGAGGGATTAAAGTTTCCTTTGAAACTACATTCTTTCCTGTGCCAGGAACCCATTTCAAGCACAGCCCCAAGGTGCTTCTGTCCAGTCACAGGCTGGATCGGCTCCCTTTAATGAAAGTAGGCTGGATGATTATTTCCGCCTGAAGTCTTTACAGTGTCAAGGATGAGGTTTGTCCTGTCACAATGTTTAAGAACGCATTAAAGCAGTATCATCTGCATACATAAAATACTCTTTAAAATATTAATAAAAAAGCAGATTAATAGTCCACAAAGTGTGTAGTACATGCAGCAGAGTCGGTCCTGAGTCTTCCACCTACCTACAGGGTTGGTGGGCAAATTGCAGGGGGTCTATACAATGCTCGTTTTGTGAGACCATGTACCTCTCACCAGGTGTTCAAAGCACTTTGTGACCAGTGATGTGTGACTGCTCTAAAGTCTTTGTGGACTTGATGGCAAATACTATTAATAGTAAATAAAAATGACTGATCATAAGGACAGAGATGCTATATTTTATTTGAAGATATATTTTCCCAGCTTCTTCTGTTTATTTTCATGATCTTATATGATCATCATTGTATACTCATCGTTTTCTGTCCCAAACTGTTACCTGTGTTTTCTTTGAACTTCAGCTGGGATACATTGGTACTTTTCTTTTCTTTTTTCGTAAACACTCGAAATATGTGTCATCTTCTCATTAAATGAGTAGGAGGGGTCACATCAGCATAAAAGTATTTACAAAGATTTAAGCATGTTTCTCAGATTCAAAACCTAATGGCATTTGAGGATTTATTGATTTATTTATTTTTAGTAGCATAATCTTTTTTTTTAGAGGAAACAACAACTTCAGCAGTTTTATACTGTCTTTAGGAAAAAGTCATCCATAGAGAATTTATCACCTAAAGCGGGACCAAACCAACTTCAAAGGGGACCAGAAGTATTCACGTTTTAGTAGTACTCAGTGTGTCCGGTAGGTGGTGCTGCGGTACAGTTTAATATGATGTGCTGCGGCATGTCCCGTGACTGATTCATAAATTCAAAACCTCATTCACTTTTTTTCAGCTACAAACCAAAGCAGGTCAGAAGTTCGAGTCTTTTGCTTTTCATTTTGTAGTAAATTTAAAAAGCATCTTCGTTCATACTTATTAATATATTAATATCGCAGAGAGATGTAAATTTAACCCATGACATTTACGAAGGTAAAAGCAGATTTTGCTGTATGAAAGCAAAAATATATTCAAAATTATTCAAACCAAAAATAACTGCAGTGAAGACGTCACTGAGCAGCGATCAGATGGATTCATTTCTGACGGCTTTGTTTACCAGCTTTGTTTCGACCACGTGCTTGCAATGTGTCCACGCATGCGCACTAAAGTATTGTTCTTATGGCACGCGTATCGGTGGCGCGCGCAGCCAAAAACAACCACCAGCCACGCGGGCGCGCAGCCACTTCCCTGCCCTCGAGTTGATTGGTTGTCGTCGCGTCTCCCCGCCCTCCGCTGCAGCTGATTGGGTACATGGAAATCTTTCTCCTCGCTGATTGGACTCTATTTGTAAAGCAGGCTTTGTAGCTAGGCTGCTGTTGCCTTCACGTACCTCTCCAAACAGCGAATTTTAAGGACGAAAAAACACAAAAAACACGTCTTTATTTGCCTTTGTGTGAAGAGTAACAGCGAAATGTTCCTTGTCACAGTGCTGTTTGACTGGCCCGGTAAAGGTTGTATGACATGTAACATATGAAGAGTCATAACACAAATGAAAGGAGAGGGACGATTGGTTAGCCAGCAAAGAGATGCAGGAGTGAATTGTGGATACATATTGTAGATTTTACTCTCTCACTTTTAAGCCACAAATTATACAGCTAAGAAAAAAATAATAATTAAAACACCAGAAAACGAATAACGTGAAATAAATGGAAGACAGAAAACTGTTTAAGCTCCTGTTTGTTTCTTGGATAGTTCTAGAAGTTTGCATTTGTGTGTGTGTGTGTGGGGGGGGGGGGGGGGGGGGGTTCTTTCATTTCTCATTCTTGTGCTGAAGTTGGATTCCGCGTGGTTTTCTCACGGGCTGTGTCTGACACCCGCCATTTCCTGCGACACTTAAACGCATCACCGATAGATGGAGATAAAACTGCGCCTTTTCTGCACTTTTTTTGCTGAAGTTTTCCTTCTAAGCGTGCGGCGCTGACGCTAAAGAGAAGCTGCAGACACCGAGGCGACGCTTATAATTGACAGATCCGCGGCCGTGAACGCGGCTGTGCGCGCATCAGAGAGCTAATTAGGATTTCAGTATAAAAAAGGCCGCAGTCGGGACAGCTCGGCCTGTCCTGCCGCTGATGTCGGAGAGCTGAAGGTACAGAGGTGCACCCCAGCATGCACTCGCTCTGATCCCAAACAAGCGGATGGGATTTGGGGATTTCGCCCACGCTGCACTCTTCACGCTTTTGCTTTGTGAACGCATTGAAACTCCAACGAGGACACTGATGTTTCTGGAGACTTTAATGGCTCTGGGCTCGACCTAAAGAGGCTGCTGCTGCCTTTATGGGACGGTGAAGCTATCCTCATTTATTTTATTTTATTTTAATGTATTTCTTTTGTTTGTTTTCTAAACTGGTATCCACACTGCTGGTTCAGAGGGAAAAGCTTCGATTTCTTGGCCGGGTTGTTTTGGTTCTCTGACGGGGAGGAAGGTGAAGAGTTTTTGGGGTAAGTGCAGAAGCAGTGACCTGCTGGAGGACACGCATGTACTGGTCAGATACACCCGTGCTGTGGTGCTTTTAGAAGAGTGTGTGCAGATCTTGTCACACTCTATTTCCTGTTGCACCAGAGGAGTTTTTCCGTATTTAAAGCCTGCTCTGCGTGTCTGTGGGGCTGGTTTAAACTGTCTGACGCGTCGGGGAAGAAATAAAAATCAGGTGTCACCCTCTAGAATTTGAGATGATATCATTTAGTCCCCATTGTGGAAGTCGGTGGTCTTACAGGATGGCAGCTCGGGTGGATTTATGTAACCGTGGGGCTTTACCAATCTGCTTACATTAATTATAAGGTTACAACATCCTCTCCTTTAATGGGACACGTTTTGTAATTTGATCTCCAAGTTGTGTTCAAGAGCAGAAAAAAGCACGGTTTGCCGCTGCTTTCAGCTGATTATCTGCGCTGCCTTCATCACCACCACCATCATCATCGGTGCGCTTTTTTGGCTGCAGATCTCGGTCAGATTTGTGTGTGTGTGTGTGTGTGTGTGTGTGTGTGTGTGTGTGTGTGTGTGTGTGTGTGTGTGTTTATAATGCCACGTGAACAGGCGACAAAAACACAGCGAAAGGACGGATTTCATAACGTCCACGCGCATTCTGCCTGCACCTCTTGAAGGAAGCTGCAATATTGTGTTTACATGCATCATCATCATCATCATCAGCCGCCCTCGTGGTGAAGCAATATCGCCCCTCGGGGTTTGTTACAACACGACAGTCCTCACGATACAGTTCATTATTATTGTTATGAAACACTTTAAAAATAAACAAAAGGAGAAACATGAAATGTTGTTTAAGGTAAGCGCGCCCACGACGCCAGGAGCGGAAGGGTAAGAAGAGGACAAGCTGTACTATTTAATATGAGACCTTTGTTAATGTTTGGTGTGATCATTCGTGGCGTCCTGTTCCAGATGTGATGTCCAGTGACAGGATGATGCAGCGCTGACACATAAACAGCGCAGCAGCAGCAGCTGCAGGAGGAGGAGGAGGGTGAGGAGGAAGGCTGCTGTTTTTTTGCCTCTTATTCCATAAAAACATCTTCATCACGTGACAGAGCATTGAAGGAACCTGCTGGTCTTTGTCACAGTGGTAGGCTTTGTTTTATCGCCTATGTTGTTGCCTCTTAGAAAAACGACCGTTAATTATTTCGTTATTACTCAGTTATGACGTTTCCGGATGATGTAAGTCTGACTGTTTAGTTGTAAAGAACATGAAAACAATCATTTTCTTAGTTCTATTTGGTTAACTCACAGATTCATTATTATTGATCTTGAAATAATTAATCATCGGGGTGATTGGAGGGAACGCAAACGCATCATCTTCTTCATTTAACTCGAAGATCCGCAGGTGGGGAACCGAGCTGCACACACACGAGTGTGTCTGATTTTTATTTTGCTTTGTGTGTGAAGTAGAGGACAGAATCCAGATTCATATTCTCATCTTGTATTTATTTACACATCCGGGTGTCTGCGCGCTCCCACCTCCCTTTTGTGGTGCGTTCAAGCCGCATGGGAAATAATCTCGACAGTAAAAACAATAACATGTAGGGGGGGTGTTCTCCCTCCTTTGTGTGGTCTCCAAGCAGAAATATGCGATTGTCTTTTCTGGGAAATAAGTAGATGACAGTCTGTCACAGCAGAAACACAGACATCTAAAGAGTGATACAAGGAAACCGTGATAATGCCATTTATGACCAATTTCAGACTCGCAAAGAGAAAAACTCTGGCTGAACATGTGGGTGGAAGACTCTGGGAACATTTTGTTTTATAAAACCAAATTAAGCAGCATAAATCCATCCACAAAAACAATTTCTACTAATCATTTAAACAACGATTTAACAATGTAACCTAAATAACAAGAAAAAAATTGAGGCACCAATTTTCATGGCTCTGCAGTTATCTCCACTGGCATGCAGCCTGCCTCCTTTACCTCTCACACAGTCCAGCAAAAACCTCTGACTGCCTCTGGCATGTTTGGAGGGGACCAAATTTGTGCTTCTTTAGCTTGCTAGCTGTCATGTCTCATAGATGTTGTTGCACTTTGGCACATATTCCAGCTGAAGCCATATGCCAGATGGCTTTCTGCTGGTATTGAGCTAAAATAAGAAAGTGATTCTTTCCCTGTCCAAGCAAAAGTCAAATCTGATCCTTTCTGTGTGGTGTTTGCGTGTCCACTCCAGGCATTTCGGCTTCCTCCCATGGTCCAAAAGCATGTTAGGTTAATTGGTGATTGGAAATTGGTTGTAAACTGCCTGAAGGCAAGGATAAGCTCCACCTTCCACATGACTCTGAAGTGGATAAGCAGGATAAGAATAAAGCAAGGATGGATCGTTGACTAAAAATTCCAAGTATGGCTTTCCAAAAGGATCCAAAAGCATTTAAAGTTTCAAAAGACATCTTGTAAATATGGATATAAATACTAATTAGTGGAAATCACATTTTTAAAAAATAGTCGAAAATACTTTGGTAATCTAAAGTAAATGAAGTACAAATGTACCAGTAAACAAAGACAAATATTTACAAGATTAAAGTTTACAAATAAACTTTAAAACAGAGTTGTGCTTTTTATAAAATAAGAGTTCTCAAAGGGTGGATTTAAAGAGAATGGCAGGCATTAAAATCGCACAAACACACCATTTTACCTTGAATTGCGCTCTTAATCTGGAATCCATCTTTCCCAAGGGAGCCTGAAGGCAGCACAGGCATCTATTGGTCAGCTGGGCTGTTAATCAAAGCTCACGCTCCCTCCCACGTGGTGACGTCCTCGTAAAGTAACCAGGCCAGTCCATTGCGCACACAAAAGGCACAACAAAAGCCCGTGTGGGGAAAAATGAGAACCGTCATCACCCAAAGGAGGCAACAATAAGTTCCCATCTGGCAGCATCACCCATGGACCAGAGCCTGGGACGCCGACAATCATTTCTTTAAGTCCAAAAAGCAACAAGAAGTGCAAAAAACCCCCAACAACAACACCTCTCTGTCTCTTCCTCCAGCAAGCAGTTTTCCACCGAGCTGCGCTCTGCTCAGATCTGATCCAGGTGGTGAGTACAGCAGCAGCTGAAGCGCCGTTTGCCTAAAAACTGAAAGAAAGCAGCAGCCGAGGTTCTGTGTGCGCTGGATTCAGAGACAGCGCCAGGCTCAGAAAAACAAACAATGAAAGCAGACAGCAACACTGTTGCGCCTGAGCTGGCGTCGTGCTCTTTGTTGGGCATAAACAAATTTAGAAGAGGAGCAGGAGGAATTGGGAGGGCTGCAAACGCGTCTAACGGTCAGATTAACTGCTTTGGATCGTAAGACTTTCAGCGAAAACGCATGTTATCGGCTTTTTTTGGTTGGACTCAGTGATGAAGGGAGCGAGTCTTTTGTCTGGACACTCTTCCTGTTAGTGGTTACCAGAGACGCACACTGTGCTGCCTCTTTGTTTTCACTTTGCTCAGTGCGAATGTCAGCTGTTACCTGTCCTCTCCACTCACATTGCCACCCTTTTAAAATATCTTTCTGCTTTTAATTTTTTAAAAGCAGAAAGATATTTTTGTTTAATTAAAAAACAGAAGCAGAAGGTGAGATGGCAGGCGATGGAGTGCATGGACACAATAGGAGGAGGAGACAATGTTGCAGGATTCAAAGCGTCGTGTTTAAAGTGTTTTATCAGCACTTTTATCTGCAAAACTCCAGAAATGTTAAAGTTTCATCAAAGAAACAGAACATGTGGTTTAAATGGCCTGAAGTCAGCAACTTGGCTTATAAAGTGTGTGTGCGTGCGTTTGTGTTTACCTCCATTGTGTACGTGCCACTGGGGTTAAACTGAGCTAGTTCAGAGGGGATTTTGTCCTTTTCATGCAGGGATTAGGCCTCGGCACCTGTGCAGATTATACTGTATGTATGTAAACGTGGCTCTCTGCGTGGGGCCTCTGTGGGCCAGAGTGTGTCTGCATGTCAGGTTTTTACCTGGCTGATTGTGTGTGTGTTTTTGTGTATGCATACGTATATATTCGTGTGTTTGTGTTTGCAGAGCAGCCATGCTTCATGCTGCTTCCTGTTGAGTTGCGGAAGTTCCTTTGTTTTCTGTCTGGCTGCTGGCTTCTGTCTCGGTGCTGCTCTTCCTGTTGCGGCACATTGAGCTCAATTGGAAACTTCTCGAGCCTTTTTAATTGTTTTCCCTCGCAGGGCCGCAGGGTTATTGTTTTGAGGGGATTTCTGTCTAACGGGGCAACCTTTGCTATGCAGAGATTATATTAAGAGAGGCGTGTGGTGGATTTTTCCTTCACTTAGCAACTCTTGAGAGATAAAAGTGAAAGTCTGAGAGTTCGGGTGTACAATGTGCTGGTTGGTGTTTGAATGGGGAAATATGATCCACAGAGTCGGATTCACCGTATATTTCAGTCAACATGGGAAATGTGAGCCAGAGAATTTGCAAACTTCAGGAATCCTCACGCTCTGGTTTCATAGGGGGCGCTGGTGAGCCCGAAAATATAAACATTTCATATTCTTCATCCAGTTTTCAACATGATTTTAATAGGCCAGGGTGAGAGAGGGAAACACATCTCTGTGGGTATCAGGAACCTCACAGCACCATGGGTCCCTTTACATCCTCGGCCATTTTTATTTGGGAGAATTTTGGCTTCCCTGCAAGAAAAACAGAAGTGTGTGAATGTCATTTCATACCCGTTTGGGGGTGTTGTTGATATGCATTTGTCTCAGTCATTTAGCACAATTTACCACCATTTATGGAGGATGAGCTCACGATGCGCCCCCTACTGCACCCCAACCTGAACTGCAATCACATTGCAATGGGACAAACAGGAAGGGGAATGCATGTCCTGGATCTATAAAGGCACCGTTTGTAACATCTATGTAGCCATTAACTGTGTTTATCCATCCAATTATGGTAACCATGCCAACCCAACTGACATTCACAGTTTAGTCAGATGACGTTAAAGCTGTGTAGTTTTGGGAAATCTAATCTAAAGTCCTCAAGATTTATCAAGATCCAGCCGGGTGTGTTTACCACGGTTAATTTTATCTCCCTTAACCTAGTAACCTTAGTTAACCCGATTAGCATTCCATTAGCCCTGCATGTTTAGGGGCTGAGGACTTTGACTCTCTGGTAAAGTTACTGCGTGTTGCTCATTTCCTGAAAGTCAGTAGTTCAGCAGAAAAAGGCTTAAAAAAATCCATATGAGGGAAGATGCACTTTGTAAATCAGTAACAAAGTTAAACACAAGCAGGCAAAGATGACTTTTCTCAGCTGTCGGTGGAAACTTAATCAGCGCTAAAAGCACAGCAAATAACAGGCATGCATTCAACAGGTGTCCAGAAACTCGACACCAGTGTTCAGGTGCTCTGCGCCTCCTGGCTGCTGATACACTGCTGCAAATCAATACATGTACCTTCAATCAGCCAATCAATCAGTCCGTCACCTTTAGCACCTTCAATCAGCGTGTGCTCTTCACATGCAGCAACCAGTAAAATAGAAAATGACACAAAATATGATTTTTAAAAATGAATACAATGCTATTTTTAGCACCATGCACAGCAGTGAATGTTTGTCTGCAGAGCTGAACAGTGAGTGGGTCTGAATGTGTTCAAATCGAATTCTGCGTGAGTTCCACTGCACCTTTAAAAGTTACAGCAGTGATTCATTTATTTTGTGTAAATGTGGAGAAATGCCTCAGTAAATAAAAATGTGTTTTCTGGCCTGGCTACAATGCACAAACCTAACGATTAATCATGATTATTCTGAGAAGTTTAAAGGTCAGGACACCGAGTGGGTGGGGCTTTGCATTAGCTCTTCGTGGGTTTACTCGTTGCAGTTTAGTTTGCAATGTTTAGCTTCAGGTTAGTTTTATTTTCTGAATTTTATAAAAGTGCGGGTTTTACTAAGGGCCAAGATACGATGCTCACAATAGCAAAATGCAACAGTTTGTGAAGGAAGTTGAGTCACAGTCCGGTGGACATCCCAGTAATCACACACTCCAAAGCCTCGTGAGGCTGGTTGTGTCACAAACCCGACCACACTGGGGGGAAAACTAAAACTAAGAACACTTCCTCAGTTTTTCTATTTGCTTTTAGTTTGGCGAGCACAAAATATCCTCTCATTTTATTCTTTTATCCAAGTCTGTTTGTGGGATGTTTTCAACACCTACTTTTAGTCTTTTCTTGATTTAGATTCAGTCCAGGATCACAGCCTTGGTGTCTGGGATGGGGCTTGTTCAGGCATGTCTGTGGAAGTTTGAAATCTGGGAAAAAGTCTGCATGCTGTTTGGATCTGGTTTAATAATTAAATGCATTTTAAAACATTCTTGCAAAGACCTTTGCAAACTTTTGTGATCATATTTATTCATTTTAACAAATGTGGGGACACAGTTTGCTGTGGGAGACCCCTGCCAACACAGACTTCTGATTGTGTATGGAGAAGCGATATGTGTGGTGGTGCTGTTAGCAGAAAGCAAAAGATGGAGCAAACCAAATCAAAGGAGGCAGAGGGGGAGAGATCGATTACACTGAGCTTATTTAGGCTCGGTTTCTAGCCTGCACAGGTGCGCTTAAATGAATCTAACAACTCCCCCTACCTGCACAGTCCCACAGGAAGCGCAGAGTAACCGTAGCAGTGTGAAAGTAACATCTGCATGTCAGTGCAGTTCCAGGAGCCGACGAGTCCCCGCAGGACATTACATCCTAACGAGATCATCAATGTCACTCACTTCACCTGCAAGTGGTGGTGTTGTGGCAGATCTGTGCAGGTCTGTCACTCCGGGCTCTCTTTTTTTTTTCTTTTTGAGGTTAAAAAAATTCCACATATGCATTTTTATGTGAGCATTAATCTCTTATTGGTCAGCTGGGAGTCGCATGCTTGCAAACAGGAGTAGGAGGAGGAGAAGGAAGACTCCACGTGGGTGGATGTTTAGCATCTGTGTAGATCTGCAGACGTGTTTTTCGTGAACCCCTTTCAAAGCTCGCACCTATTATCGGGCCTCTGTTTCATTGTCTCAGCAGCTGTGCTGGTGTGCAGTTTTTACTGCGGCGCTGCAGGCGCCTGCTTTCACTTTTACCTCTGAAACCTTTGCAGACAGTCGTGCCTCTTTCTTCTTTAAACGCCACGTTCCAAGATAAGGCCAAGAGATGTGACTAATGGTATCCTTTGACATAAAATCCCAGAAAGTTGATTCATATAAACAAACGTTTCATCAGTCAGCCAAGTTCATTCCAGACTGAAGAAATCACTCGGCTGAGTGATGCAACACTTCTCCTACTGAAAACACTGCCTGGATCGTTCGGCGTGCATTAACATACTTTGACGTCAAGTGTCCAACAAAAATGATTATGAGCCATTTGTTCGTGTAAATTAATGACATGAGAGGAAAACTTATCGAGCTACTTGAAAAACTGACATCTGAGCAGCATTTCCTTAAGTTTCTACAGGCACAAGAGTTGGTGCCGAGTTTTAGATTCGAAATCCTGTATATTTTTGTCTTTTGAACGATTTTTGTTTCTCCTGAGAAATTCCTCTGACTTATCTCCAAGCTGCTGATCTCTTCTCGCATCTTTCAGTCTAAAGAGACAAAATGAAGACAGGCTGGTTTCTATCATGTGCTGTGAAGAAGAAAATAGTTTGAGAGCAGGTGAAACGTGTTATGTGGCTTCTGACTCGTTGTCATATTAAGTTACATAACCATGCAGCCGTGTTGGTCGGGGACAACATGCGACTGTAATCACTTAATAGATGTTTCTAATCAAATGATTGCTCCAGTGAACGAGCTGTTTATATTGGAAATGCAATTAAGCTCACGAGCGCTATAAATAGGAAGTGCGGAACGTGCCGCTCACCACATCATCTCTTTCCTTTTCCCACTTATCCGCAGGTTTGATTTTCTCCCGTGGTGTCTGTGTGGAGCGTGCCACACACCCACTCCACAACAACGACGGCTTTTGCTTGCATCTTCCAGTGTTTCTTCTGTCAGCAAGTCCAGCAGAGCTGCAACTCTTCCAGTGCCAGCCCTGACACCAGCGAGGAGCCCTGCCCCACTGACATGGTGAAGATGACCAAGTCTAAGACCTTCCAGGCTTACCTGCCGTCCTGCCACCGCACCTACAGCTGCATTCACTGCCGAGCACATCTGGCCAACCACGACGAGCTCATCTCAAAGGTATGACGGCTCCACACGAGCTCGCTCGTCCCTGCCCTTCGTATAAAGCCACCCTGCAGCACTTCACATGACTTCAGCTGCTCTGTTTTATTTATGGGGGAAGGAAAGCTTCAGGGTTTTGCACTTGTCTCACAAATCTCACAGCAGCTACCCTTGGTGCCATCCCGAAGGTCAACTAGAGAGAAATATTACATTAGTGCAGCGTGCTTAAAACACCCTGATCAGCAGCGAGTGTTGGCCCTCTCCTTAGAGCTATAAATAAAAGCTGCGAGTGTCGGCCCATTCTGTAAGCTATAAATAAGCGTGGATAACGTGATGTAGTCGAAGAAGCAAATGTAGGTTACTGTGGCACAGTAAACTGTTTTTAGCCATACTGTCTGTTTGAAGACACGTCATGACGTGAGAGCAGAACAGAGAATTAATCTGAGCGAGCGCCAGCAGGCTGCTCCGCGCCGCACACTCGTGTTTGTTTGACTACTATGGTGACCAGCATGCCGCAGGAACTTCTCGTAATCTGCCGTGCTGAGCTGACAGAAAATTTTAGTTATATAAAATCTAAAATGCGAGTTTGGAAGAGCTACGAGACGGGAGTCTGTCGATAAATGGGTCTCTCGAATCCCATAAACTGGCCTCGCTTCCTGAGCTCATAGCCTGAAGCCGGTGTGGAAGTGCATAAACCTGCAGTGTTCACGAAGGCCAGCAGGGGGCGAGACATTCAGTTGCAGGGTGAGTCCACCTTGTTATTGACAAACCGTTACCGTATGAGTGTGAGGTGTCCTTTAATTGATCGCATCTGGTTTCAAAAAGCTACCATGGCGATGGCCGAAATGTGTGATGTCACTATTGCTATGTCCGTCTTTAATATACAGTCTATGGTTGAGCGTTCTTTAGCATAGTGACTAGCGCAGTTCACTCTGTTATAACCTAATGTTGTGGTATTAAATGTATGTTTTACAACCAAATATTTACTTTCAGCCAGCTCAGCGAGCGGGCGTGCTCACGTGAATTTTGGGAGCTTTTGTTTTTTTTCTATTGTTCCTTCAAAATAAGAGCTCAGCTGCCTCGTGTTAGGAATAAGGTGGATCGTGTGCTTTAAAGCCTTAACAATGTGCTACAAGAGATTCACTGTGCAGTATTTTATAGACTGTATATCAAAAATGGTGTCACCTGCTGTGAAGGCTCAAGCTTTAGCATTGTTGATGCCGCCATGTTTATTTTTCCTTCTTTGGAGCTGGCGATGAAACCACCTTTAACCAAAACGTGGTTATCCATAACATGTGTCACATAACTTCATTATAAATACTTCTGAAGGCACAAACAGCACAAACATGCTGAGGAGGTTCAGTGACTCAGTCAGATTACCTAAAGGCTCACAGGCTGCGAGTGGCTTTACCCGTCTGTGTCACAATCCACCTGTTACTCAAAGTGGGTCACCTCCTAGTATTGCATAACTTAAACAGCTGACATGTGTAAATAAAAACCTTACGGGTGTCATTGAGGGGAAACTGAAACTGCTGCGTGTTTGTTTAATATCAGGCTCTATGCTGTGCATTTAGGCTGTTAATCCTGGCAGTGCAATTGGGATTGACTCGCTTTTTGACACTTCATTTCTAACCCTGACTCTTGAGCCCTAATCAGTGGAGATTTTAAATAAGTGATCCTCACTAGATGGAACTGAATTAGAAGCACAAGCAACACGCATGTGAATTTGTAAAGTTAGAGCTCTGAAAGTGTTTGTGCTGATTTATGCAGCTCACGGTTAAAATCGAGCTCTGATAATTATGCAGACTTATCTGCAGATCAAAATGAATGGCATGTTTTCCTTAGTAACCATGGGGATGACTTTCTCAGGCAGTCATATTTGACAGCATGCTCGTTATATTTTGTGGTGAATAAATATGTCTAAACTGTGAAATCCCACTCAGCAATATCTGATATCAGTTCTGGCAAATGACACAGATGAAATTTTATGTGATGCTCAACTTGCTGCATCTCCACAGCTCGTGTACCTGTTCGCTCGGGCGTCTGCGTCTTGTTACTGCCCATAAATTCTCCGAGGCTGGGATGCTGGGCGGGGCTGCTATTATCACTGACGCTGCTCGAGCATGAAAGAGCTGGTCGCTCTATTAAAGTGTTACTGCTGTGGCTATTTTTGCTTCTGTGGCTGTTTTTGAGTTAAAAACGTCAAAGCTGAAAGAGCCGCTTTGGTTCGCTGAGCATCTTTGGTAACCTCGTACGTGCTTTGAAAATCTGAGATGGAAAAATCAAGACAGTCGAGCTTCGTATCTGCGCCGCTGGCCTGGGGACGTGTTTTTGTTTGTGTTAGCTCATATCGTATATTGTCATGATGTAGATAAGTGTGGCTTTAAAGAGGTGCATATTGCAAAATGTCAGAGATAATGTCTTCAGATTCCATAATCTCCATGAACAAAAGTTTTAAATAAGTCAATGCATGGATGGCAACACTTTAGAAAGCCACAAAAATCATTCAATCTCAGACGTTCATTGACTGAAAGTTTGAGGCTGATGAGCATGAAAACCTCAGCGCTCTTCTACTCACCTTACCTGTCATCGCTGGGCTGGTGTGACTAATATTCCTGTGATTGTGCTTTTCATTCTGACTTTACCCTTTTTTTAAGGTAAATTACCTTCATCATCATCCACTCCTGTCGAGTACGAACAGCGTAAAGGTGCTGGTAGAAATGATGTGTCACTCGTTGAATCCAGTGTTGCCGTCAGACTATTGTCAGAGAAATTCATCTCCGCGAGTCTGTGACCTGAAGCGAATCTAGACGACACATTATTATAAGCGTCATAAAGTGTCCGACGGTGCCAGTCTGGATTTAAAGTCGGGAATCTCAGGGAAAATCTCTGAAAACGCGAATATTAGGACCACTAATTTCCGCACAGTTTTCACAGTACCTGGTGGTGGGACTGGTTTTCAACTGGTCGCTGGTATCAACTCGTGACCCCTCCTCTGTGATGTGTCTGTGGAGTCAAATGTCTGCGTAGTCCTGTGGAAAAAAGCCTCAGTATTAACTTCCCATCATAAATGACTGCTGATCGTTTTGTTGCTGCCTGCACATAAATCCTGTCTTCACTAATGATCAATTCTAGCAGAGACCAAACCAAGCAAAAAACCTCATTTTACAGTCAGAGCGCACAGCAGGACGCTGAAGATTCAGCCAATTTCCCAAAATGAAATTGTCCTGCCAGAGCTGGTCATTCATCAGCCCACAGAGAGTGACAAATGTGAACCTGAGTCAAATACAAAGAGCTCTGTGGCCCCTTAAAGTCTGTTTATTACACGATTTCTGTATCGAAGTCCACGCTGGCATTTGGGGGCACAAACGCGCAAAGGTGTGAAAGCGTCGCTTTAACGCCGGTCGTGAATCGGCAGCTGGAGGGGAAAGTTTCAGAACTGTGAGATGAAGCAGAGCAGAAGTGGTGACCTTTACGTGTTACGACGGCGTGCTCCTCTGCGTTAAGGCCTTCCCGAGCGCTAAGCTGATTATTTAAATGGAAAAGTTGATCAATCTGAGCTTGGATCGACTGTGTGGAGGCTGCGCTGCTGTAATGACCTCACGTACGTCATGTGGTACTCACTTGGAAAAAACTGAAACCAAGTACAGTCGAGTAAGGGCTGGCATTTATTTTTACATTAAACATAAAGTATGCATTTCCACGTAACATATTTGACATAAGATAAAAAAAAAACAACAACATGAAATCCGACATACCTGATAAAAAAGGTAAAAGAAAGAAAGACCTCCAAGTAAATAGTTTGCCCACTCCAGCTCCGACGACCAAATACAAACAGTGGGGAAGAGGGTTAGCTCAACCCACCACAGCTCCCAAGCTAGCAAGGAGTATATATTCATGCTAGCATTTATGGCGCCTAAAACACATTTATGATACACACATACTACACACTTATAACATCTTACAAAAACAGGCTTAATAATGACAATAATTGAATTAAAATCGCAATCAGAAACATCCAGGTGGCTAAATATGCATTATGTGTGTTTTAAAGTGTTGGAAAGAAATGACACCCACCTCTCCCACAGGGGAATTGTAGAAAAGGGGAGAGGCAAAAGGGGTGCACTGTATTTATAGGATTGCACCAAAGAAGAAGAAGAAAAGAATGAGGAGGGGCTCTAACTGATAATGAACATAACTACAGGCTTGGAGGTCCTAAAAGTCAGGTATAAAAGGAGCAGTTTGGGAGTTTAGAGCACATTTTGGGTAATTATAACAATGTGATTTATGACCCTGATACATGGGTACTACTGGAACAGCTATAACATTACCACTGGCCCCTATGTCAAAAATCCAGTGTTTAAAAATTCTACATATATGTGCTAATTCTCTCCTGAAGCAAATGCTGATAACTCTGTTTGTTGGTGCAAGCACAACAGCACGCTCAGTGAAAAGCTTTACCAGCAGCCTCTCAGAAGGTTCGGAGGCCTCGAGGTGGTAAGTTTGGAGTTGCAAAGTCTGCACAACGACAATTTCACTGGGTTTTAATTTTTAACGAGTGTCATAAATCATGAATGGATGTGCCTTTGGCCTGAGAGAGGGGGGGTGTCCTCATTTATCTGCGCCTCACTTAACCTGTCGTGAGCCATGTCAGATATGTGGATTTATCTCCACGCACAGCAAAGACTGTGACAGGGGAGAAAGGAGGTTTTATGCAGTGAAGGTTTATTGGATCCTGCGCGGGGAAATTAAATTGTTGCTCCAGCAAAGTTGAACTGAAACCGGGTGGCTGTGGGTGGTGGTGGTGGTGGGGGGGATAAAGCAATAAATGAAGAGAAGTTTAGCCGATGTGGCTCATGCAAATAACCTTCAGTTTATCAGCAGAAGAAAAATGTAGAGGGAAACATGATTCATTCATGGGATGTTATTTAAATCGAGGCACCATTGCTTGCTCTTGTAATTAATACATTTCTTTCGCGCTTTTGCAAATAGGAAGTCGATCGTGGAAGAAAAAGCTA